CATTCCAGAGCTTTACGCCGCTCGTCCTTGCTCGTTCCAGGAGACTCACGAGCAACGACGCGTCGGCACGAATACATGCCTGCGACAATTCATTCGAGAAGTGAAATCCTTTACCATCGCCACTCATGGACGCCTATAAGAGAAGGATAAAGCCGGGTAGCTGGGAGTGGACTATCCTGGTGCGTCCAACTGCCTTCTTGGTGTCTTCCCATTTCCTGACCGGTTGTGTCGACAGAACTCCTTACGCCCACCACGATGGCCAAGCGCTGAAGGACCCCCCAAATTCATCCCATTCTAGAGCGTTACGCCGCTCGTCCACGCTCGTTTCAGGAGACTCAGGAGCAACGACGCGTCGGCACGAATACCCTGCGAGGCTGCGACAACTCAATCGAGAAGTGAAAGAAGCGGGGAGCGGTAGAGTCGAGCGTGTAGTTTCATGGAGCGAGGCGGTTCGAAAGGTGCTATAGCGTATGCCTTCTGTTCCATCTGTAAGCGGCCCTGCTTATGCTACCTTGCAGCTCTTGGTCTTCTCGCTTGCTGGAGCCGGCAGCGGGAGAAGGATATTGTGGTGTGTCCGATCGGGCTAATTATAACGCGCGCAATTCTCATTTTCCTTCCCAGCCGCAGCCGTGAAGCGCTAGCTACCCATGCAACCCGCGTTAACTTCCCCCACATACTCCGAGTCAAAGTCGTTGTTCAAATCTACCATGAGCCTCGCATCCCTTCCCAAAACTCCTGTTCTCCCCGAACACGCCGTTATCAGCAAGACTTCGCCATCTCCAAACTCAGCGCCCGCTTCCACGACTTCGTGTCGTCGCCTCCCCGAAATCAGTGACGACTCGAGCATGTGGGCTTTATATCCCTCGGCAATAACTCGCGGTCGATTGCCAGGCTTACGCGCCACCTCAACTCTTCTTGCGCTCTGATATACATGCGATTCAAATGGAAGGCTGTCGTCCGCGCCGTGTATCAATAATTTCAAGCAGCTGACTCGCGTGCTCGACAACGATAGGGCAATTCCGCCACATGATGGTCGAACAGCGACCACGAGAGGACTTCAGGGACGGTCGTACACTACACCGGGGCAGAACTGTGAAGGTCAAAGGTCGATGAGGACTGGCTTTGGGGCCGGCGGTTAATGAGGAGGTCTTGAATCTTGATTCAGGTGAGCGAAAAGCCACTCTAGTCCCGTTTGGCTGTAAATTTGGAATTAGGTCTGCTTTCATGACGCGAGCGGGAACGTAATTGGAAAACTGACTGCATATCATCCACTCAACACTCCCCGTTGGCTTACCGAAGTGTTTGCGACGACAGCGAAGGTGGGCACTTTGGGTGTTACGGGAGCAGGAGCCTCGTTGCTCGGACAATGAGGAGGGTTTCATGTAAGCACAATGCGCTTTGTTAGCCAAGTACTTAGCAAAACAAGAGATGTATAGAATCTATGAAATGAAGGACCCTCGTATCACAAGGCCTAACTGGCCTTCTTCGTCCCACTCTCAAAGTTGAGCCTGGAGCTTGTCACTCAGAGGACATTCCAGTTGGATTCCTTTATGGTGGTATAGACCAAGATTGAAGACATATGGCAAGTGCAGTGCGTGCAGATGCAACATCCTGCTGAATGTGAAATCTGCTAAAGCCCGGTTTGTGAACGTAAAGCGGCCTCTTATCTCGAATAGACCAAGACGGGGAAGCAGCACCTGGCCCGGATCCGCGTCTGCATCAATGGTAAGCCGCTTCAGCAGCTCGTCTGTTACGAGGGGCGGTGGAGTCTCGGTGGTGTATAAGTCTGTGAGGCACAGGTCCTCTAGCGATTCGAGCCGAGCAAGAATATCGCAGAGATCAGTCGTGCTGAAAGGTAGGGTAATAATGAGACAAGTTAGGTGTTGTCCCATATTCGAGCGCTCGATGAAGGCGCAGAATTCTGTTTGGTTCCAGCATAGAGGGGTCGGATTACGGCGAGTTTGAGGTCCCAGTATCAACTTCGTTACGTTGGGAAACAAGAGCGAAGCTAGTATTTGCCCCAGGCTAGGAGCGGCGTCACTGTCACCAACGCTAGTCCAAAACTCGAGTTTAAGGGATCGGCTCAACACCTGTTGGGGCGGCGCCGCTGTCGGGTCGTCATTTGGTCCAATGGTGAGAAGCAAGTTGAGGAACAATGTGCCGCCAGATGGGAGACTGTATAAGGGGAGAAAGCGCAAGTCGGCCGGAGTGAACGGAAAACCGGTATCCAACGAAAAATACCGCAATTGGCTCCAGGGCAGTATGAACATTGACATGTCCTTCGCGGGTCCAAAGAATGTCACACTCTCCAGTCGGGGAGCATTCGAGAAGCAGTCGATGGTGTGGGAAAGGGATAATGGCGTCATGATATGAAAATCCAAAGATTCTAAGCAGTCCAGATGGTCAAGAACCGGAGTGAGCAGTGAAACCGTCCGGTCGTCAAAATCCAGCACGACATTCTTCCACCGACCCGAGTGCTCCGCAACCATTTCTAGCGCGCGGGGAATACTCTTTTCTTCACTGTATGCTGCCCAACCGGCGAGCATCGCCCGGAACTGCAGTACGAGCGGATATTGACCACCTCTCGCTAAAACGGTCTTGATTAAATGGAAGGCTTTTTGCGCAGATACTCGTGAGCTGGTCAAGAACGGTCCGTCGACTATAAGCTGGCTCCAGAGACTCCGTGTCGACAGTGCCACCTCGCGCCAGTGCAAGCAAACCTTGAGGGAAAATTAACACCTGCAAGTGCTGCTCGTGAACTTGCGCTCACCTGCATGAGGGAATGGAGATTGGGATTGACCAGGTTCCTCAACCCCGCTTTAGAGTCCTTGATTTTCTCCACAGTGCGGTACATATCCGCAGGCGACGTCAGCACAGTCATTTCGAAGATGGACGCCAGAATTTCGGTTGGGAGCTGGCGAATATGTGCCGCGAGGAGACTCTTGCACTGGGAAGCGTATTTGACGACCCATGCTCGCTCTTCAGTGACTGTGCGGACCAGTTCCTCCAGTCGGGCAAGATGAGCATCATAAGCGGCAATGGTCGCAGACGAAGTGTCGAGTTTGGCGGAAATATCCATGGGAGTCGGCAGGTTTGAGCGAGTAATGAAGTTCAGGTGTTCGATTTGACGGATAGAAGACAGACCACTGAGTGCCACCGAGCGAAAAGAACAGACAAAGCAGTTTGTCATGGTGGTTGATGAAAGTGGGTCAATCGTGACAGTCACGAGTCAAGTCGCACCAATTTGTCTTCCTCCAACACTGACCACTGAGATACAGGAGGTCATGAGAGCCCATCGCCGTTTACCAAACATTACACACACCTTGCTAATTACATGATGAGTACAACACAGAACCCCCCCGGCCTGATCGCAACAATTCTGCACTAAAATGACACCGAATCCGAGTCCCGAAATCTGTGATACCCCCACATCGACCTGCACCTTTCCCAGCACCACCTCTAGCCGCTCGCGCCGCCAGTCGTCAAGTCTACACTAGGCCAGAGCGGGTTACTGGGCACATACTAGAGAGGCGGTTCTAACCCCACCAGTCATGGCAATTGAGGGTAAGGACACGATGCTTTTTGCTTATGTAGCGGGATGCCAGTGCGGCGAGGAGCGTTGGTGATAGAGTCGGGTGAGTTTGGTGGCGGGGCCTACATACAAGTCAGCACAAAATCTGCCTGTTTATGTCAAGTCCGGTAACGCACTTTGCTTCATGGCCCCGAAGCTCTGCTTCGCGTTCCGAATAGCTAGACCCACTGCAATGGGTAAAGCTCAAGCAGGACAGGAGGATGACCATACTCATGTTTATGCGACACGTTTTCATCGCTGTACTTGTATGCGTTGTCGCCAGGTTGAATCAATTTGGCGGGGCCTTTGGACATCCAGCAAGAGCAGTAGACGATGCGGAAGCTTGCATTTGCGAGGGCAGGAAAAGTGACATTGTCCCCATGTTGGGCGTCGTTTGCGCAACACCGCTCTTGAAAGCAAATGGCTTGAAGGGAAATGCAAGCAGTAGCGAGGAAGTAGCAATGAATATGTGGATAGAGGAGAAAGTGAAAGAAGCGCGGTAAATAGCGTTGTTGTCGAAGACAGCCTTGACATCGTTGGAGTTCTTCTATCCAGCTCCTCTCTTCCCAAATCTGCCCCAACCCGCAACCATTATAGTCCCTCCGCTGCGTTAGGACAACGGGGAATTACCGTCCTCGAGGTCGTCGTGGATATGGAGCTCGTCGTCGTGAGCGGCGTTGACGAGTTGGTAGTCGCTGGGGGTATGTGTTGTCGCGCTGATGAGCGGTGTTGAAGCTGGGACTTGGCGCTGCGACCGCGGAGTTCTGCGTTGTGAGGTAGCGGCAGCCGCCATGGGTGGAGACGCCGGTGACTATTATCGTCCTAGGTCACCCATCTTCATCCTCATTTTCGTTGGGACAGTTTGTCCTTAAGGTCTGCGCCGGTTATAGTGTTGCGCATCGCGCGTCTTGAGCGGGGGCTCGGGATTGGCGGCACAGAGCTCGGCCGGCTGACAAGAGAGAAACGGGGAGAATTTGTTGCTAGCTATCCTCCAGATGTCAGCGCTAAATCTGGGTGTAGAGCTCATTAATGCACTTGAAACTGTACCCTCCACGATAATAACCTCTTCCTCTACGTGTTCAGAGCCCACTTAAGCAGCATCGTGGGCGATAAGAGCAGAAACCTTGGCGCCTGTAACTCTGCTTCAGTATAGGTATAGAAAGTCAAAGACAAGCGGCCACGCACTAGACTAGCTCGAGTCCGAGTTCTGCGGCATAAGATCCATGGTCGCTTGCATAGTTGGGGCATGTGTCATTGGCGAAGGAGATCTCATGAAGGTCGTGGTGCGGAAGAGAAAGCGTCACAGCGTCTCACTCTCGATTTAGCACTATCACTTACTGACATTCGCTATCCTGAAAGCGCCAATGTGCCTGGTCCGGGTGGCGCCGCTCAATAGCACTAGTCTGCTGTGGCCTGTCACTGGCACGACATGCTGTTTGCTCTTGCCCTTGCCTCAATCCACTTGCCAGTGCCCTCCCGGTCTTCGCTGGCGGATGAGCGTGAATGCACCGACATAAACGACTGCAGGCGACTCTTCGACATCGTCTGGGGCTGTCTCGCGACGATATTCCTCTGCATCTGGGTCTCCGTCCACCCCAATGTGCCGCCTCCCCGTCCCGCACGACCGGACAAATGCGCTGGTTCCCAAAGCTTGGTGAAGTGGCAGCTTATCGACAAGAATGAACCGCTGCTGCATCGCGCGAAGCTGATGACTGTGGCCCTCGTTGCGCCGGAGCTTATCATTGGGCTTGCGACGAGGCAATTCGTCATGGCGTGGTCGCTCTCAGAAGGTTGGGCCACAACTTTATCCCCTGTTTTATGCTCATATTCATGGAGAGTATAACATTTCGCTAAGCCATGGATTCTTTGTTATCATGGGCGGCTTCGTCGATGCAGAAGGCCATCCGATCGTCACGAAAGCTCAACTAGCTTCACCACTGGCAAGTGTAGTGAAGGAAATTCAAGCCATCGAGGAGGCGGGCATCGATGATCGTAGTAAAGGCGACATGTTCTCTAAGGTCATTGCCCTCTGTCAAGGACTATGGTTCATCGCCCAGTGTCTAGCGCGAAAAGGACAGCATCTCCCCATTACCGCACTCGAGGTGGCTACATTAGCCTTTGCAGTCGTCAACGCGCTCACTTGGCTACTCTGGCTGAAGAAACCGCTGGACGTGTGCTATCCCATTCGCCTCCCTCTTCACACTGCCCCAATAGGCTGGCATAACCGTGGTCCGCCCTACCCTGCTGCCCTCTCCTGGTTCGAACACTTCGGTGGTGTATTCACGAATCTATACCACACCGATGAATACGACCCACTCGACAACACCTCCGTCCCCACCTTCTGGTGTGCGCGGTTTACAGACTACAGTGCTCTGCAGTACTCTAGCATACTGTCGTGGTCCCTCGCCGACAGCAGCCAATTGATCTGTGGCGTCCTGTTTGGCGCCATCCATTGCTCCGCATGGAGTGCTGCATTCCCTTCCCCCGCCGAAATGTGGCTCTGGCGCTCCTCTGCGCTGCTAATCACAGTCTTGCCATATACATTCGTATTCGGCATCATACTGCAGCGCGTTCTCTCGCTTAACCAGATACGGCGCGGTATCATAGCAGTCATCACGGTGTACTCGGCGGCACGAGTTATTCTCCTCATTGTACCGCTCACGGCACTCCGAGCCCTTCCTATCGCTGCATTTTCAGACGTGGAATGGAGCATTTATATTCCACACTTGTAACTCAACCTGAAGCAACCAGTGCCCTTTGGTACTGAATTGCATGTCAGGCTTGAAGGTTCCCAGCCGTGTCGACCATATTTACAGTCAGACATTCCTCTGTACTACATTATCTCGAATGCATAGTAAATTGAGGTATTCGGTATACAGTAGTGCCGAGTACTGGTACTACCGTAATCAACTGAGAGCAGGTGAATGAATAGCAGAATCGCAAGTGAGCCGTGATAGATATAGGGAGAGTTGGTCTGCGTAGACGCTATGCTAACTTCATGCGCTGAAAGATATCGCGGGCATATTCAGAGGGTTGCACCAGCGAAGTCCCTCCCGACAAAAGCATCCTTCACCCAATCGGTTGCACATGGGCCAGAAGTTTCTCCGAAGTCCCGCGCTCTTGCCCATCCACAAGAAGAGGCCGCTACTGCGCGCATTTCACACCCTCGATGAAGAAACGCTGTCGTGACCCGTATATACAGCACGGATATAACGCGCTCAACGGTGGTCTTAGGCCTTGACTTGCAGGGCAGAAAGAACTGAATAGGACAAGAGCAGTATGGAGCACGAGAAGATGCGGTCGATGGAGCGACAGCTTTGGTGTCAGGGAAGATATGCCGCAGTCTTTTCGAATGGCGCAGGGCACGTGACTGGCTATATCCGGATCAGATTTTGAGTCGGTCTTGCAGGTGGTCATTGGATAGTGCAAGCCCTGACGAGGAGGCGGAGGAGCAAACAGATGACAGATAAGCATGAAAGTATGTATGATATTGATTCGAAGAAGGTGTTGTTGCCCTTGTAACTATTCTCGAAGACGCTTCAGACAGGAAAATTGAAGTAAAAAGAAGATCATGCCTTCGAATGTGCTTGTCGCGCGATGATGAGAGGGATTGCTGTATATGGGTCGCCCATCCCGCTTTCCTTGTCAACGGGCAAGGAAAGAAGGGTTCGGAGAAGAGGAAGCCTAACCAAGGATTTCTTCGTCCTGCTTAAGTGTAAGTAGAGTCGGACGGAGCAAGTAAGGCCTCACACATATGCCAATCCTTCAAAATGCCTGCAACAGACCATCATCCAAGTACCCCGCCACCCCGAATCACCTCGCCCGACGCGCACGTCGACATTCGATCAAGAAAAATCGGTCATCCCGCCATACAACTGCCGCAGGCAAAACGCCCTCAACGTCGGCCTTCCCCCTCAAGAAGCAGTGCAGAAAGAATTGCGTAGGAGTCGAACGGTATGGGGTACAAGGAGATGCGCTCAATGGAGCGATAGCTGCGGTGCTGGGGAAGATATGTCGCAGTCTTTACGAACGGCGAGGTGCACGTGACTTGCCGAATCTGGACAATTGGTAGTGCGGATAGTGCAGGCATCATGAGAGCGGCGGAGAAGTCGACGGTGAAGCAGGAGATGATTATTATGTTGCTTTCGAATAGATATTGGTGTCCTTGTAGCTAGACGAGGCTTCAGACAGAAGAGCTGGAGTGAAAAGTGGATTGTACCTTGAAACGCGCTTGTCGCGCGAAAACGAGTGGTAGAAACATATTGGAGTCGACCACCGCAATTTCCTTACGCGGATACAGGCTAAGGATCCGTCTGTCGACTGACCAGCGGCTAGCGCGAGTGATGACGGTGAGCCAACCCACGCGATTCCGCCATTAGGCGAGCATCACAACCGCCAATGCAAGTTCTGCATGTCGTTACAGAGTACTATCGGGCGGTGGATAGACCATCGATGGTGGGGAGGACTAGAGCATTTGGTCAACGGCGGGAAGGTGGGTGGTCAAACACGCACCCATACTGCCGGTAACTCCCTCCTTTTTCCTTTCTCCCCAAAAACTGATATACGTGGCAGGTACGGGAGGAGCGACGGGTCCCGAGCCTTCTCTGGCAGCAAGATGAGGATGTCGAAAAAGCGCGGCAAACGAGCCTGCTGGGGAGACTGTCAGCATCAACAATAAGCGAGGAGAGTGACTGCATGCGCACTTGTATCCACACCCATTCCTCGCATGTTGCTCTTTCGAGAACCACCCAAGACTCTTGCGCGGCAACGCTACGGACGTCGTGTCCGCCACTTGCTGGATCTTCTCGGTCGTCGTTGTCAGCAGTGCCTTCGAGTTGCCGCAAAGTAGCGCAGGAGCAGAGCTATGCTAAAGGTCAGCGATGAATGCAAGCCAAGGCGCGCGAAGACGCACATTGCTCCGTTTGCAGACATCGTGAGCAGTTTGAGCGCTTGGTGGAGAAGGGCGGGCAAGCCCCTGGCACATTGCACACCCGTTGGAGGGCTTGATGAGTCTCACGCCGGCGAGGTCGGGGAGACAAGAAGCGGTTGGGAGGCTGTGGCCAGAGCAAGAGGATTCGTATGGACATCTGCTGAGAAAGAGTCAGAAACTGTGAGGACAACAAGAACGCGATTTGCGCACTGAGATGTCCGACATATTATCCAGCCATAACATCTCTTCGAAGTGCCCGCGGGTCCCGAAGGTCGTGCAGTGCCAGCGTGTGGAGAGCCGCAAGGCCCAGTGGCGGAGGAACGGAAGAAGGAAAGACGGGCCGGTCACACCACGTTACCCGTCAATCCTTCCGCCGCATTGAAAATGACAAGAAAACCGTCCTCCCTCCTATCCTGTGGCTCCATCGACCCTACCTGGAGTTGTCCCACCATCTACTCATGGGATATTTTCAGTATCTCCCAGGATTCGCCCCGATAAGGCCCCTGCTGGCCGCCTTTTCGCTCACGACTGGACTTCGTCGTGAGCAACTTGAAAGCCGCAAAGGGGAAAACAGGCTGGAGAGCGGAACGAACATGATCTTGATCTAGATGTGGTGTGCGCCGAAATATGTGGGCTCTTCCATGATGCTGTCGATGCGTTGGTTAATACATAGAAGAACGGCGACTATCTTATGGTGAACCGTGGCGAGTGGGTTATCCGAGCTGGCCATGCCCGGGCCATGCTGTTTGTGCGCCATCTTTTGATTGGAGCCACTCATATGTCCACCGCCAACGACCTTTCCGAAAACTACGTGGTCAAGAAAAGAATAGCATGAACTTGACAGTCTTGACTACGAGTAGTACATATTTGCCAAATCGTATCAAGGTTCTTGTGTGTATCGCTAATACTACATCAATGCGTAAATGTTGTGACTTGAAACATTTGAGTATCGAGTTTCCCAGGCTAAACGGTCGAAACTTTGTCAAGATCTCGCTGAAATTCCACACTCCCAAAGCTTCCGCACTGCCAGTGGACGACCATTTGGCATCGAGACCGTGATGCTCATACTCTGTTGCAGGTAGACCAAATTGTGCATGTCCTCGGTGGTAATCCCAAACGGGCTGCTGAAGTCGACGGCAAAGCGTGCCAGCTTCATGTGAACATCGTTGGAGATCGCGTTCGACACTCTCATCGCAACGCCATCAAGGAACGGGCGGATGCTGGTGGGGCGTGGCGTGGACTCCTGATCGAAATGCGGGAACATTGGTATGTCCGCGTTATTGGTGACGAGCAGGGTGAGTGACTCGAGGTTGGGAAAACAGAGGGGAAGGGAGAGTGCGACGGCACACCGCCTCTCCTCGTCGCGGGTCATCGCGAACAGAGTCACAGTGAGGTTTTTGAGTGAATTGAGCTCCGTGGCCATGAGGAAGGCGCCGAATGCGTCATATGTGGTCGGGGCTACGGACAGAGAAGTGATATTTGCTGAGGAGCGGACGATGCAGGGACAGATGAAGAATGCTACATCGTGTTCGTCGAATTGGGACAGCCGCAACGTAGTCAAGGAAGGCAAGTCAATATGGTTGAGGATGAAAGCATTTTCGGCACCGCCGAATGACAGTGTTGACAGCTGGGGCACCTGGAAGGGACGCCCAGAAGGAGCGGAGGGGTTGTCTTCCAGCGGCGAGGCGAGTGAGAGCTCTTCCAATGCCACAAGCTGGCTAAGTATAAGAATAATATCGTTGAATCTTGCCGGTAGGAGAATAGTCAGTTTCCGCAGCTGATGTGTAGGAAATGACAAGCGCTGAAGCAAGCCGGTCGGGACGCGGATAGAAAGCTCGTGGAGACGCGGCGCATTGATGATCATATATTCTGGGGGATGGGAGGGTTCCAAGATGTCCAGAGTAAGCTTCGTCACTTGTGGAAGGTCAACCTTTGGGTAAGAGTTCCCCTCATTGTCCCGGTTAGCGGGCCAGTAGTCGCCAGTCAAAGACGCTTCTTCCCATTGGGCAGCAGATTGAAAGACAAAATGAGGGAGAATATATCCCGTATCCTCGGCAGCGTCGTCGTCGTCGTCCGCTCGCATGGTTGTCGAAAATTTAATTGGTAGTTTTTGTATGCGTGCAAGGAAGTTTTCGGCAAGTAAATCACGTCTTGTGCCGTGAATTAAGTAGCAGACCTGTGTCCACAAGCGCGGGTCGGCGATAGCGATAGCGCGCCAATGTCGGCAAACCGCAGTAATCCGTATGAGTGCGCGGTTCGCTGCAAAGTGAGGCGACAAAGACACAGCTGCTGCGAAGATACGGCACAGAATTTCGGTGGGTAGCGTATTTACCGGGTAAACAATGCTGGATAGGTCATCTATGATCCTTTCCAGCCGGTCTTCAAGGTGCGTTAGCTGGGTCTTGAGCTTGTCGATTGTTTTGCTGGTTTGCTCCGCTTCTTCCCTCAGTCGGAGGATAGTGGTACGTTCGAGCGGAGGGTCAGGTCGCTTGGGTTCGCGGAGGAGCGAGAGGGATCTAGTGGCGCTATTGTAGTAGTCCTTGAAGCGGGTTCTAGTCGTAGACATTTCCATTCTCAATTGATTTCAATAGATCTGAGAAATCATGAACCCATAGATTACAGCATCCACTGGGCGCACCAGATAGCTTGAAAAACAAGACACAGAGAGAGTTTAGGCTGCTGCACGTTGGTGGGTTGTTTATCGCTGTGGCTAACTTGAGGAGAGTGACCGTGACTCCCTCTTCGTTTTCATCCACGACTTCAAATTCCACTCGAGCACACAAGTCCCGTTGCCCACCTATGCGCCCCCCAGTAATACGCGCCAGGGCTCGCTTCTGGAAATAGAAGCACCGCAGGCTGGCTGTGGGAGGTTCAGAGTGCAGCTTTGCGAGGAAGTTATGACCATTCAGGCATGTCTTTCTCTGTCTTCCTCATCATTGTTTCTCCGTCTTGTTTCATACTCATTGACTGCCTAAGCGCGCTAATCCTTTGCGTCCAGCGCTCCACAACTGCCTCTCACTACCCTCTCCCCCTTTTCACCGTGGTGGCCACATACTTATGTCAACAGTCGTTCGCAGTTACGAGGGCTCCACCACCGCCGCCAGCCAGCCAACTCGGAGGTGAATGCCTTCCTACTATGTGCTATGTACGTTTTAACGAATGTGGTACTCGATGAGGTTAGAGAGATGTTTGGGGTGCTTGCAGACCCGCTTGAAAGTATGGCACGACGTAGCGTGGTGGGGTCAGCCAGTGGAAGGCTCTAGTGTGTGTGTGTCCTCCCATTTAAGTATTTATCCAACCAAATGTGTTTAGGGCATCGCTTTGACTCTTCCTCTAATCCAGTCTCCGCTCCATCGTATTATTCCGTTCTTCTTGCCGCTATATATCACTAATCATACCCCCCCTTCTACTCTACCCAATGACGACTATCTCTTTAACCCCGGGAGGGCCTGAGCCTGAGCACGGATGAGAGGAAGGGTTTGAGTCATCACAGCTACCGAAGACGTTGCCGCAGTAACTGCTTCTCAAACAGCCTACCAGCAGCATGGACGGTCTTCACGTCTCATTCTTTGCTGACGCTAAATGCCCATCTGCCAGCTTATTCTCCCTCAAAAGGAACCCCGAACACTCGAAAACGATATCGATCTGCTTCGCACACAATCTCTCACCTCCACTCGCAGCATTTCCCATCCACATCCAATGCTCTCGTCCCGAAATGGAAGTCACGTGCGCGATATCTCCTTCGCTGACGTCGAAATACCGCGGCATACGCGCGACCAAACACTCTGTCGATTGCACCTTCACCTCCACCACACCCTCCTCACACTACCCAATTCTTTTGGCCCCATTACTCGATGCGCTAGGCCTTCACAACCATCGGACCCCATATGGCCACATACATGCATTATTCGTCTTTCCGTCAGCATACTGGGCGCCTTTCTCCCTGCGGACTTTGCAGTATCACTGCTTTCTTTTCTTGCGAAACGCAAATGGTCGAGAGAAAGACCGGGCAGCTGTGGGACTCCCACCAAACATTCGACACGCTGTACACGACTCGCGTTGTGGGAGTCGTGAATGTCCGCCACTATCGGCCCTCAAACCTCACCTTTGCCAAACTAACACAACCATCCCTCTGCTCAGGCAGCTCTGTCTCGTTATCCCTCTGTCCCCTTTGTGTTCGGCCCCAGCGCTGGGCCGCTGGCCATCTACACCATTTACCGGACTTGGCCGCCATACCCATGAACATGTCCTTCGACCGAATCGATAACTTCTTCTGTCCATCCCACACATATTGACTCAGATTGTTTCATTTTTTTCGGCAAGTTGTCTACTTGGTCCTTCCATTTGCCAAGTATTCATACGATACAAACATATTCGAATGTCTCTGTCTTTCCTACTGTTAACTTTGAAACATCTCCATCTGGTTCCTTGCACATATTCATTGAATCTCATTTAACCTTGGCCTTTTTTAGTATTGCTGCCTCGTGGCCTTGGCCTGTGAGTCACAACTTGCTCTTGTCTTTATCGATTACAACGACTTTATGGAGGAGGACGAATACACTTGGGATTCAGAAGAAGATGAAGATTCCGACTCCGAGGACGACAAATACTACGCTAAGCTGGAGGATGAAGAACACAACGTGGAGGAGTACTACGCTAAGGCCTCTTTCGCTCTTGGAATTCGGGGCCCTACCCAAACGGACACGCCGCTGAATGCCCCTGTCATCTCCCGTCTCCGAAGCGAAGCAGAAGAGCTTAATAAATCTATCCATGAACTCAAGACCCAGCTTGCGGCACTTCAAGACCGTCTCGAGGCGATCGAGGAACAACTCTCGACCGTGGTTTACCCGATCAACACAGTCCCTCCGGAGATCATGTGCAGAATCTTTGCAGCAGCCGTATCGCTCAGCCCACCAGCCAAAGTTCCGGTCATCCTCTTACGAATCACTTCAGTCTCACAACGGTGGCGAGCTATTGCTATTGCAGAGCCCCACCTCTGGACAAATGCATCCTTTTTCCTCAAACGCGAAAAGAGCAGTCCACTCTTTGAACTTTTTCTGCAGCGCGCGCAGGGACTGCCGATCATCGTCTCCACTCCAAGGGCCCGGCTGCCTCGGGACCTATTCGATTCCACTGCACGATGGAAAGAGGCAGATCTGGACGCAATTTCCCTCGGCTTCAAATGCCCCATCTCTGGCTTCGACTTTCCTCATCTCACAAAGCTTACTCTCAAATTATCGACAGCTCCGCAGTCAGATCTGCGCTCCACTTTCCAAAAAGCTATACACCTCCAAGAGCTGTCTATCAATAATCCCCAGCTGGTCTCACAACTCTCCATCCCAATTCAACAGCTGCGTAAATTGACCATTCTTTCAAATTGGCAGGTATCATATTTCGATGTTATTTCTCTACTTCCGGAATTGGTGGCACTGGAAGAGCTTTCACTGATCGCCGACTTTGTTGGCATTGACGATGCGTCCACTCTGATTATGCCATTCTTGTCGACCTTGTCATTACTCGGGGAGAACACTGCTTCACTTTTGGCTGATCTTACACTCCCATCTCTGTCCTCTCTTCACCTCTCGTACTTCCACTGGGGCGAGGCAAGGAAAATCATTCACGAATGCCTCTCCCGTTCCTTGGCCAATGTCACCTCGCTAGACCTATCCCTCATCAACTCGGGCTCTTATTCCACAGACTACAGTACTATTCGAGTCCTCTTGTTCTCGCCCTCGTTTGATATGACCCGGGAGCTGATATTGCCCTTGCTCGAATTGGATTCGCGTCATTCCAAACTTCTTGCGGCAGACCTTGCCCGCCTCGACTTTCTGCCCAATCTCGAAATATTCACCCTCGTCGTACCCCACCCTTCCAGATACAGGTCCTCGATGGCGTCCAGGCCGTCTCCCGTTAAGATTGAGCTACGCCCGTTCCTCGATGGTCTTGCGATGCGCGTCGCCAACGCGCTCTCCACCGGGCACACAATGAAGCTCAGTCAATTCGTTATTGAGCATGCGCCGCATTCCTTTTGCGACGAAGACATGTACAGCTTGAGGAATCTGCAGCATCACTTGCAGATCAAGGTTGCAATGCCCCATGGATATTTTTCGAACATGGAATTTATGGGAAGGTTGACGTCGGGAGCTTGAGGACCGTAGCGATGTAACGCGATTTTGATAGTATAGGGCTCTGCAATGCACTCTGTCCGCAGAACTCGTGGCACACCAAAAGCTTGAAATTGTCGACCAAAATGAGCACGAGCAGTCGGCATGCATTTGCATCAAGCACAGTCTCAGACAGGATGGCGGCGAGGCATAGACTGAGAGCAACGGGTTTATTCAACTTCAATATTGGGTCAAAGCGAGAGTCAGACAGGTGGACGGATTTATTCAAGTTATAGCACTATTGGCGGGAAAGATAAGCGGGTGTCGAGGTTAGATGGCCCGCCGCGGATATGGTCTTTTTGTCCAGAAATAACCTCGCAGGGCGATGTCGCTTGCGGAGGACGGCACGAGTATTTGTAAAATTGTAACAGTCTGGTCAGAATGCCAGTCGCGGAGCTATTGAAGAGGATGGCTAAGCCACTAGTGAGGCAAAGCAGCCGATAACTAGAGCTCTTGGTCCTTGGAAAGAACATGTCGGGATGGCAGTAAGCCGCAGGTGGAGAATAAGAGTCATGACTGGACCTACAGATGAGCAAAAGAACAACTCAACTTGCAAACGACCAAGTGACGTACCCTTTTTCCAGCCCGATGTTCCTCAAGCTTCCTGGTCGTAGGCATCGCCCTACTCTAGCCCCGCTTTATGTGGGTAGCGCGTTGAGTTCATATCTTGACAAGCCACTATCCTAGTAGGCTAGTAGTAGCAGGTCCGGCTTTGACGAGCGAAGTTCAGGGACTCGGAAGTCAGATAACGCGTCGCGGGGAAGCCTTACCTTGTCAGTTTTGCCTCGTTGAGTACAACGAGCGCCAACGCACCTTGAGAGGATGCATGTCGCATATGAGAAGAATTCCACACTCCCCCTTTGTCTCTTCGACGACGATGCTGGCAGGGAAAGCTAAGCCGTTGTCTTTATATAATATTGATATATATTCAGAGACATTCAAGACAAGACACGACTCGGGGTTTCAAAGCTTTGGAGGAGGGATTCAGGCGCGGCACAATGGCTAGAGAACGCCGAATCGAGACGGCCATGACTTAAAAAGCCTAGAGGGCGGTTGCTACAAGAAGCCTTGATCCGGACCAGGAACCATGTGTGGTAGCGAGAAGCGCAGTGTTGAGAGAGATCGCGACGGTCATGTTGTGGTAAGTAGGAAGAATGAGTCAGTTGTCCGTGTTGCGCTCGCAGACTCGGATGTGATCATGTGTCGGCTTAAGTTTCTCAGAACTTGTTATTTTGCCCGGCAAGCTTAAGAGACGATTGAGTTTCAGCGGGGACTCGAGTCACTCGACAAGAGGATGGTCGGGACCAGCAGCATACCAGTCAGTGCAGAACAGCCCTCATAGTCAGCGAAACGAAAGTAAGTAGGATAAGTATGTGACATCACGCTTTCATTCTTTCGTTTGCACTCTCATGTCATCGCCGCAGCCCCGCAAAACGACCTACCTCTGGTCGAAAACGCGCCAACGACGGATTCTAAGGACGTAATACCACTGCGGGACTCAGAGAGGGTCGTTGGCGGAGAGGAAAGTCGAGGAGAGGACACATGGGATGGCATTTGCGGACACCGGTGTGTTGACGTGGTTTTCCTCCCTTTTTTCAAGTTTTTTGATGGATCATGGCGACCTCAGTTTATCCTCTATTCTCTTGGTGCTCGCGCAAGACTGTGCAGCTCGATTATGTATCGACAATGACAATTCTGACGACCCCACACCCTGCGTCCTTCCGACCACCAACATGGTTTTCGCCGTCCAAATCACCTACAACGTCATTTACGAGCGCTTTGAGGGCCAAATAGCGCCCTCCTCCCAGACAAATGGTCCTATTTCCCGCTCGAAAGTAGCCTCCACCGCCTTTCGGGTTTACAAGCCATATCAAGCATGTCCTGTCCGCTCGTGTCTGCTTTTCATCCGAGTTCCCCCGACATCTTTTGCCTTTCCGTCCCCCTTTTCCGGAACCAAATGTTTTCGCTATCGATTTCGAGGGCCTACTTTCGGAGTGAAGATGACCAATAGCCTTGGTGGTAAACAGCGCTCAAGCGAGGTCAACCAGCGCAAAAGCTGTCGCAGTCGTCTCAAATATAGAGGAGAATAAGGTCGTGGAGCGCGCGAACGAAAGACAAGGAACTCTGGTATGTAATCAGTTTCTTGCAGCAATATTCTGAAGCTAACAATGAATGAACAGGCGTATTACAAACGTGTACCTACATGACCACCATACAAATTCACACAGCTCTCGTGTTCTTCCGCGTAAAAGAGCCCGCAAAATTGAGGAGCGTGTGCTTAATATTTTCAACAATCTCCTCTCCCACAACACGGCCCTAATTGCTCACTTCCGTCCTTATACCATCCGTTCCTCTTCCTTCAAACCCAGACAGCGCGAATGACCTGCTCGGCACCTTTTCGCGGGGTCACTCGAGTTACGGTCACGCACCATGGCCAGCAATCTTACGACGTTGCGAATACGTGTGGGGTTCTACAAACCGAACCTAGTTTTCCAACGCAATGTACCCATCATTTCCAATTCTTCTCTGCTCGCCATCTTCGAGCCTGTTCGTACTTGCGCGACACAATTGACGTCCTTCTTTGACATTTGTCGCGGGTTGGTCCTTTGGAGGACACTCTCGAGGGCTTAATGTCGCGAGCTTGAAATTGGTCATATTGGGCATGGGGGAAGGATTGGGCGTTGAGCAAGCCGTGACTTGTCGGGAATACACGTCTTTTCAGCGTATACCGATTGTTTCTCCGGCTTGACTACCACGTGTGTGCTTTGATGTCCTTTCTGATTTACCTTGCCTACCTCACGTTTGGACTATCTGCGGACTGAGATCAAAATCTTCTTTCGTTACATTGCTTCTTGCTTATTTTCACTTTACTTACTACTCATTTTATCAGTACGGACGGGCATTTTATTGTCACTGAGACAGTATAACATCCCGGTCCTTCATCGTCAATGCCATGCCTTCCAGGCTGGATATCCAGTGGGCATTGTTACATTCACTTGCGTTGTCTGCTGTAGGCGTTTCAAATCGCGGGTGTCTTCATAAGACAGTACAGACGGCGCGAAGTCAAGACTGAACTGAATAAGTTTCATGTCCGTAGCGCCTGCAGCGTCCGTATTGTTGGCTCGCATGGTGATACCGTCGATGAATGGGCGGAGGATCGAGCCTATGGTCGTCGTAGAGTCTGGCGTGATGCGGAGGGTAAACGACTCAAGGTTTGGGAGATTGCGGAGGTTTCCAAGATCTGTTGTGCACCATCGCGCGGCAGACGGGTCCATGTCAAATGCAGTGACCGTCAGGTGCTTGAGCCGGGCGAGCGGGGACTCGAGGACATTGCTGAATAAGGTGATGCTGCTAGACTCGAGAGACAAGGAGACGATGCCGGGGACCGAATCTTTGACCAGCATGTAGTCTAAGCTGGATAGCGGCTCCCGGAGTTGAAGTGTTCCGAGAGACGGCAAGAATAGATGCGGTAAGAGGAGGCTGCTGGTGTCGAACAGTCTCAGGCGTGACAAGCGGAGCATTGCTATCCTGCTCTCAAAGCCCAGATGTGCGGTCAAAGCGAGCTCCATGTCATCTTCAAGCGAGGGGAGCGTGAGATCCTCCACTCCGACCAGGCTGGGCAAGATTTCCCAAACTTCGCTGCTCAGCGGTCTATCGCGGCCGTCAAGGATCGTGAGTTTCCGCAATTGGTGGGCCGGGAAAGAGAACAGGGAAAGGTGGTTTGGGGAGCGGATGGTCAGCTCTCGGAGACGATATGCATCTTGGAATAACGGCAATGGGGTCACTGGCAAATCGGTCAGGTCCGATGTCCATACATTGAAAGTCAAGGTTTCGAGATGGGGGAAGTCGAGTGCCCATGAGGAGTCGAAGGAAACGATATCGAACATCAACGGCCCGGGTGTGATATACACAGAAGGTTTGAATGGAGAAAGGTCTGCCGCTACCCACTGGCTTGCGGAAGAAAATATCTCGTAGGGGAATTCGTGAAAATTGGATTTATCCGCGACCGATAGCTCCAAGTTGATGGGAAGCCCTTGAGCGCGCTCCAGAAAGCATTCGAACAGCATGTCTGGCGTTTCAAGTCCCAACTCAAGGTCTGAGTCCTGAAGAAGAAAGCAAGTATATGTCCACAAGCTCGGGTCGGCGATCGCGATCTGCCTCCAGCGCTGGCAAACGGCAGTAATTACCAATTGCATTCGGGTCATTTCGTTTCGGCGCGACGAAGAAACGGCAGCCGCGAATATCTTGCAGAGGATCTCGGCGGGGAGCGTGTTGACCGGGTAGATAGCTGTGGATAGCTTGTCCTGGATTACGGCAAGACGGTCGTTGAGTTGTTCCAGCTGGAATTCGAGTGCATTGATTGATTGTCTGATTTGCTCTGCCTCTTTCCGGAGCAGAGAGTGGCTAGACGTAGCGCTGGACAAGTCCCCGGTGCTGCGGAGCCCCAAAAGAGCTCGAATGTTGTCGTCGGAAGACATGTCGTCTATGAGAGCCAAATCAAATGCCAAGATGAAGCAGCAGGTACGCAAGGGATGCTTGACGTTGGAGCTGCAAGGTGGTGGCTCTTGACAAGGACTTGAAGTTTATGATCGTTTCACGCGTGACGCGTGACGCGCGTCACGCTCTTCCTCTTATTCAACCCGTTATACATCCATGCTCTTTCTTTCTCTCCCACATCAGCCCGCCAGCAGCGCGGCCACTTCTTTCTAGGATGGTTCGTGAACAGCACCCTCTCCTCTCTGCCTGCCACGTCAATGCCCTCCGGCCACGCCCATACCTCCCCGCACTCTCCCACCCCGAACGGGCACTTCCTACCGGTTCTGCATAATAGGCACAACTGCAGCCTGAGGACACTCTAGCACAAGTATGCCCCCACTCACTCCCCTTCATACATGGCTCTTACTGAGCTGCACGTTCTTCCAGCATTGTCATTCTTCGTTCGGAGCTGCTTACCGCAACGCTAGCGGGAGTCCCTCATAAGACGGACGAGGTGCTGGAACGGTCGGGTGTGTGGAGTGAGATGACTGCTGGTGCGTGAAGCTACACTTCCTTGGCCAGTTTCGTCGACTCTTCCTGCCTAGATTACACGACCGCGGATTGGTTTCTTGCGGGAACTGGTCAGGGCAGTGAATGACCAGTTCCTGCGTGAACATGGGCCTGCAAGCGCATTACCTGGAGAGGACATGGCCCAAACTCCGAGAAGCCTGAGCATATTGTGGTATAGGTGTGCACTCAGCTCATGCCGCTTATCAACACTCAAGAGAAAGGTCTTGTTCTCCAGCCCCAAACCCACACAGACACAAAACTCTACTCTGGCACGACTTACCAAAACACCTGCTCTTCCGTCTCTCTGTCAACCCCGAGCTATGTAGACGACTGCCATACAAGTAACGACCGGGTTATGATTCCTTCCCGCACCACAAAGCCAAACAATGTTGCTACTCCCCAACCACCTCCCCCTTCCTTGTCCGCGCCCGAGCTCGTCATCCCCCCCCAAACGGCTAGATCACGTGCCATCCCGGCCTTCGGCGTCAAAAGCATCCTATATTGCTCAATCGGGTGTACCTCCTTCTGCCGCACATCGGCCTTGCTCCACCTCTCTATTTCTGCTGGCGCTCTAAGCAGGGAACTATATTGTTGGGGACGCTTTTGTCAGCTAGGCGTAGACGTGCTTTGAAAAGAGGGCGGCGGGTGCGTGGGTAGTGAATGGATATCGTATTGGGTGGCGGTATTGGTGTGGGAATTCAAGAGCTGGCAACGCGGAAATACCTTCCTCACTCTCGTTTGATGACTCAGGCTGTAGGAGCTCCGACTTGTTCAAGTTAACCTTCATTTTTCCTGAATTATTATTCTTGCACAATGCATCACACTAATCTCTGACTATCCGAGCTTCGTTTGAAACCATATATTGTACATATAGACTGCTAGTATAAAGAACTGGAGTGCAACTGCCATTCTACTGATGTATCACCAAGAGCTTGCGCGATGGCTTGCAAGCGTTGAACTCGTGAAGAAGCTTCGTCATGTGGTGCGCGTCCGGATGTTCTGGCGGCCGAGGCCCATAAACCACGCGCACCCCGCGCAATGCCGTATCCTCCAAGAACGACATCATACATGTTCATCCGGAGGGGAAACATGAAGCAGTGGCAGCCGATGCTGACGGGGACCTTGATGAGATGAAGGGTCATGCGGCCGTTGTAGTACCTCTCACCTACCTCTCCATTCATGTCGATTTCAGCACTCGACCACACTGCAGCAGCGCAAAGTCGTTGCGACAAAACCGGGGCCTTTCAAATCGGCGGCCTCGTGACCGTGACTCAGCACTCGGACGAGAAGCCGCTCGAGGGATGCTGGTGGACCATGGTGTGCTTAACTTTTCAGTAATACTCGTATTATGCTAACGCTCTGTCGCAAGAAACTGGCTCTGCTGCCTCGTGAACTATCTCCCGTGAATGGACCTACCACTCATTCGTCAATCACGTCGTTATGGACGATTCGTTCGCGCTGCATCCCCAAACTTGGCCTTCAACACGGTGCGGGTTGTGCTTCTGAAAAGCATCGTTGTCGGCGCGTCAGCGAAAAGGCGCGCGCTGTGTGCTCTTCCAACTCGTCTTACTCACTGCAGTTTACAGGCTATCATTGAATGTCCGTTGGCGTCGAGCCTGCTATCGGTGAGTGTCATGCTGCAATATGCCTTATATCTACTCACCTGCCCGTCTCTGTCAGCGTTCGGTGGAGATGCCTTTGTCGCCGAAAGAATGAGCGGTATGTTCCCTCAGGCTTTGTGCAGCCCGGGCTTACAACGGGGACAAGGACAGCGTGCCAAACGACGAGCGTGGCGACAAGCCTACCATTGATACAAGCTCTGTATCGACTCGACCTGTAGCGGAGAAGCCTTGATGAGTTGGCATCTTTCGAAGCCTGAGCATTGGACGATAGTCGGTACGCGAAACAAGGCAGAAGACCTCAAACTCCCTAATTGCGATACTTGGAAAAGCGCGGTGCGGGTCGGACAGTGGTGAGCTCAACCATTCTTCAGGGTTAGCTCTCTTGCTCATCCGCCTCGAGCACGATATACGATTCCGAAACGACATCTGGGGCTATCGCTGTCGCTGCTTCAGGACGATTCACTGGTGTCAAAACACAAGCGGACTTTTTTACTAGAATTTATTTGCGCTACATATTTGATGTCGATGTACCTATCCACCCGTTCCTCACCAGTACAGACATTCTCTAGTGACCATCCTCTTCATCATCATTCGCATTGATAATATTAACATGGACTTTGGCCAACGAGAAAGCGCATCCCACCCATTGTTATACCACTTCCGAGGCGCCAGCTAGCCATAATAATATAACTTGTATCCACCCATATGCCTGTGTCATATTTCCAGCCGAGCATCGAGTCGACAGACGTGTTTTGGTGCCCCTCTACCCCAACATATGGGTCCCGACGAAAACGTGTCCGACCACGGCCTTCCGCCGCCAGTGTTGCGGCCAAAAGAATTCAGCAGCAGGATGTTGGTATGGAGCACAAGTGGGTACACCCTCTAGAGGCATATGTGTCGAGTTTGGGAAGATATCTCGAGGTCTTGCGGTGAGCGGCACGTGGCCTTGCCCGTGACCTTGCCATTTTGGGATAGGCCAGACTTTCGTGAATTCGTCAACAGACAGAGCAGGCGTTGACGTGGTCGAGAAGCCAGGTATGCAGTACGAAGGATTGAATTGCTATAGCGGGACGTGCTGTCATCATTGAGTCGATTATTCTTGTTTGTTGGCCAGTGCGACGACGCTGATGTCGGGGATGCATAAGAGTATGCGATGATCGTGGATAGGCAACGGACTGGACAAGCGGATATACTATCCAGATTGAGGAAAGTTTTCGCGGGAACGCGCTTAGAATGGTGCTAGAAATCGGCCTGAGTATGCAGCCCATGAACCACTAAGATGTGGAAACTCACCCATTGACACCTCGGATTACTAGTACATTTCCATCGTCGTTTTCAAGTCGATAGGCAGATATGAAGGGGTTCTGTTAGAGGAATTGTCAGTAAACGTGTCCACCGTAGATATGGTCAGCAACGCACCTTTAGCGAGCAACTCCGTATCCTCCGCCAGCCTTGCCGTGCGATTGGCGTTTCAACACGGTCCGCCTTCTGAGGAGTCCAAGCCCGTTCTGTGTGGGGCAGGATACCAGTTCAGCATGAGGACAGGCGAGCTGAAAAGTGAAGCATGCGCTGTGGCGGCGCGCTGTTCTGATCGTTCCTTGAAGTTGAGCCGTGCCGAAGCTACTTGCGGGGGTGAGTCTGGAGATGCCCACCCACAACAAGGTCAGCAAACGTACAGTCATTGACGCGCATTTGACCTCATTCACTTGTATCCCATGGCAGCCAGCCCATGTCTTACTCCGACATTTTCCCGCCTTCCAGTGTGCCGATTGTGCACCTGCGAAGGTAACAGGGGCGGTCCTGACGATACAACGCGTCAGAACGAAAACAGTAGACCAAGCGGGCGGCTGATACACCTACTCGTTGTGCGCTTTTCTTATACTAGTACGCTGGAGGCTTGAAGATGTGTTTGAGGCCGGGAGGTAGCCAACCGGGGAACGATGCGCATGGCGTGGATGGTGGTCAAGATCAAGCAAGGTCGGCAAAAGCACGTGCCTCGACTTCAAAACTTTGGCCACCAACCTTTCGTCACTTTCCATGCTCAGCTCATTCGGCCTTTTCGGTAGTGACGGTGTCGGAGAACGGGAACACCGAGGAGCACGGAAGCTCGGTGTGTGGACCTGTTGATATCGTCTCGCTGTAAACTTTACTCATGCTTGCCGCAGCAAACGCTCTACCGCTCCCAGACGGTACTGTCGGCAGCATAAAACGCGATATAGAATTGATAGGCAAAGGTGCCAGTTGGACAGCGCGGGCGACTGTAGATACGAATTTGGGCAAGGTGAGCTTGTCCCTTCGGTCAGGGCAGCCTCGTGAATAATATCAGTGCCCGCTACCGTTTTCTCTCTACAAGCACCAGCGCGAAGAGTGCCCTGTTTGCGATAGAGCGGATTGAACTCACCCAAGACCGGGAACGACGGGGACATGGACAACTCAGAGCGCAACTTCCAGAAAATCGC